CCCGGCCACGCACGGGCGCAGCGTCTTGAGAGCTCCGCCTGACCGCGACGTGGCCATGAGCGAGCGAGCTACGCCTGTGTGGCGGCGGGTGCGGGCGAGCGAGCTCCAACCCGACAAAGGTGCGGCGCGAGGCTGGCGCGCTGCGAGGAGGAAGGTGGAGCCGAGTCGCTGATAGTTTGGCCCCACTAGACAGAGAGAGAAAGAAGCAAGAGGATAGGACAAGAGAAGGGTATTTTAGACGTTTACACTGCCGGGCCCATATGTAAGGGCTGCCAAACTGTAAAAAACAAACAGAACACAGACGGAATGGCTTGAAGAGCAAAGAAGTTCAGAACGATGGCACTCGTGGGAGCTCAACTTTTTTAATGGCTTGTGCGTAATTGCAAACTTTTTTAATGACACATAGGTAAAAGCCTCTTGAGTTTTTACATCGACGCGCCACTATGTGGCGCACTAGGTGGGGCAAATGATCAGACATGCAACTTTTCCCCACCAAGCGGACTTAAATACAAGCCGATTACTGGCGCAAGAGACAACGTAACTTCGCTGCGTCGGCGTCGGTCCACTGGTCTGTGATGTGCTTGATGTGCGTGAGGATCTGCATTACTGTGGATGAGGCTTGGCGAAAGCATCTCCCGTTCTTTTCCTTCCAAAGCTCCCAAGCTACAAGCGCGAAGAGAGAGTCCGCTCCTTTCCTCTTGTTCCCCCTCCAGCGCGCTCGCCATGCGTTCCACCATGACAGCATGTCCTTTGTACTCTCTTTTTTTGTCCTTCAGGTATGTCTTCTCTCACTCCCACTCTTAGGATCATCGTCTCGCTTCTGTCCTTAGGGTTTGGAGCTGCAAAACCTTCATTAGTATCATAGCACGTGAGCCCTTTCTATCACCCTTATTGCTTGAAGTTTGGCATCACACCACTGCTGTCATGGATTGGTCACTTGAGTCCTCGCTCTCACTCATATTGCTTTTAAGTTTGGAACTGCAAAAATCTTCAATGGCATCACATCACTCATGCCATGGCTTGGTCATATGGTGCGTGTGTGGACATGGCTTGCCTTCCACCTTTCTTAAACTTACAACATATATGCACATTATAGCTGCACATTTAACTTGAGTCAGTCTCCTATCAATTTCTCATATAGGATTATTATTGGACAAGCATTTATTATATGCCTTGAATTGATTTAAGGTTGGACTGACCTAATTAAATTTAACAAAAATAGCTAGCTCATTATTATTATTTTTTTATAAAAACTAGCACATTGTTGGTGCAGCCGTGCAAGCACCACAAAATATATTGTACATGCCGTCGCAACGATACGTGCATGTTTGTTAATAATAATATATTTTGTTAATAGAGCTAATATTGTCGTTGTATTCTAAATTTGTCTGAACTACAAAGCATCAACGGACACTTGTAGTTTTCTTCTTATATATATAAAAATTTAAAAGTCACGCTGGTTTTTGTTGACAGCACAGCAATGATCCAAGCATGGATGAACAGGTATACCTCATATATATTTATATCATATAAACGCCACCGCTATTTTTTTATGTCTTATGATAAATAATAGGATTCACGGTCATTTAGATTTAGGGGGCATGCGGAACTTTGTGGCAGCGGCAATCTCTCCGGCAACCCTCCATGGTCGGATAACAATTGTCGTATGAACAGCAGTAGCAGACAACTTCAGATGATCCCTTTGGGCAGGTCGAGATCTCGCATGGGCACACATGAACAACATTCCGAGCTGCATGCACATAAGGGCATTCACTTAAACAATTAGTTAAAGTAAAACTAATTTTTACAGTACTTTAAGGTCGTTTCTCGAATTGGATATATTATGGAAACAACTCATATTTACTAAAAACTAATAAGTAACTTCATCCAAATGCGCCTGGATATGTTTGATGTGCGCTTACAGTGTGTAGGAATCATGAAACATCCCCCGATCAACATGAAGAGTATGACCGCCTTGCTTCCTTCCATTGTAATTTTCAAGGAGTTTCTCCAGATCAGAGATTCTATATGTTTGGCCACCGAATGTTCGCTGCAAGGTTCATATGTATATATGTGAAAGAAGATACCTATCTATATCTAGTAAGAAGTAATGAAAGCAAGGCTAGTGGCTTATCTTCCAAAGTTACGTTGAGATTAATATTGGAGTATAAATCAATGTCTGGAAGCAGAAATGTTCTACTTTCTAGTAGCAACTAATTACTTCCAAGTTTGTGGTAACCAGAACTACCTATGTTCCCATAGACCCTTTGTTATGACAATTTATGTTTGCTCCGGTTATGACGTCCAGCATATTCAAGAAATTAGCCTGGGTCATGTTTCATCTAAGTCTGTTGTCTCTAACAAGTACAGTACCAGTATGAAATTACATTGGGTCAATCTAAGGACCTGTTTAGATCCCATGAGCTAATAGTTAGCTGAAATTAATAGCTCAAGATGAACTATTTAGCTAATAAGCAAAATATTAGCCAGCATTATTTACCTAAGTACTACTACTTCCATTTCAAATTATAAGAAGTTTTGGCTTTTCTACGTATAATGCCTTTTTTTATTCCATAAGTGATAGAATTCAAATGAAATGTCTCGAAACATTCTTTGCAGGGGATAGTGTAGTTTGGCCTTCTCCATCGGAAATAAAATAAGCTAGCAGCAGCAGATTTGCCCACTGTGACCATCGGGAGCTTCCAAGACTGTAGGTGTACACACTACAACTGTACTACACACGTACACACAGGACAAGCCTCATGGGGAGTAGAGCATTGGCATCAAATTAATTATAGAGGCCGGTTTGGCACCGGTGCTTGTCTTCGCTGCACAATTTTAATTCCCTTCTTAGTACTCCGTCTCCGTCTGTTTCAAATTATAAGTCGTTTTGACTTTTTTTTTATATAGAATTTGCTACGTATCACTTTAACTTTTTTTTGGTACATAGAATTTGCTATGTATATACGTAGCAAATTATATGTAAAAAAAATCAAAGCGACTTATAATTTGGAACGGAGGGGTACAACATTGAATCAGGGCAAGGGTACAAGCTCTCGTCCAAACCATTTGGTGATTGGTCGAATAGCCAATTTTAAGGATGATTTTGTGGTTTCAGTATGTACTAAGAATGTTGGGACAATAGAGGGTGTGTGCCATGGCAACAACATGGCACAACGCCACCAAAGAGAATATAGGTGGTGTTTGGATCACTAGTCAAGGACTAAAGTTCAGTCTAACTTTAGTCCTGCTGGACTGTTTGGATTCATAGGCTAAACTTTAGTCTTTTAATCTAGATGACTGATTTGCTCTCATTTAATTATTCATGCACAGCCATGCGGGTGGGTGGCTGGCGAGCGGAAGGGTATGGGGCGTCCAGCACTCGCCCCGAGAGAGTTTAGCCTAATTTAGGGTCTTTTTGGGAGAAAAAGATTTTAACCTAGTTTTTAGCCATTTATTCACTTTTAGCCACACTGTTTAGATCACCATGGCAAAAAAATGGCTCAAAGTGCAGGGCTAAAGTTTTATCATGGGATCCAAATAGAGCCATAGTACCCTATGTGCAGACATTATTATTTTTTTTACTTCTTTTTATTTCCCACACTTTGCACGAGAAGATGGAGCAATTACTTGGTTTCCAGAAAAGAAGGCTTAAGCAGATCATCTCGGGATGCTAGTACAGAGAATTTGAGTGATGTTCCAAGTGTTAGCCTAAATGAATTTTGGGCCTGTTTGAGCGTTTGGCATGATCAGAAAACAGCTCTGGCTAGCTTCTTCAGAAAACAGGTCTTGCTATGGCTCTGTCTTAGAACGCAGGAATTTCGCAGAAATCGTGCAGAAATTTCATAGAAATCAGTTCAATTTCATAAGAAAAACGCAGGATCAGATAACATTTCCCGCATTCCAAACAGGCCCTAATGCAGGAAATAGCCCTTGCTCTCGCTCCTTTGCAGAAGCCACAAATCGTGACGCTCCTCTACAGCTCCGCTAGTGAAGCCGTTTCTCCACTCATGAGTTGAGTCATGACGGACACAGGTCCTACCAGAGCTGGAACCGGAGCCCGGGCTAGCTACTCTCTTGAGAGTGGTAAAGTATGTAGAAACAAACAATTTGTAGCCTATTGGAAAGAGCCTTATGAAAAAGAAGAAGGGAAAAAAAAAAAGCAATGACCATCATAGCATAACAGGCACAGTAAACGTAGTAGCCAAACATCAAAATGTTCTGCAACAACACAAAATACAGTGGCCAATGTACCAACTCCATGCAGACACCAGACACTGCTGCTCCCATCACATCAAAACCACTCTCTCGACCCTGACAGGTTGGCTCCTGCCACCTCTCACGCGAACATCGGACCCACCATCAGCGACACGACCAGAACCAGCACCGCCGCCGCTGCTCCCGCCGTCCATCCGCAGCCCGGCGCCGCTCCGCTCTGAAAAAAAAACAAATGGGACCCACAGGCCAGCCAGTCAGCGAGAGAGACGAGTCAAAAGTGCATTGCCCACGCAGTTGAACGCACAAGCCGACGAACACCCAAGCCCAACCGGGGCCAGGGCACGTCCCGCGGCGGAAATTATTGGTGCACCTACACGCGGGGCCGTACCCACGCGGCGAACGAACGGCTACTGCCTCCGCCGGGGCCCACGAAGAAGAAGCATCGGGTAGGGGTGCCGTCCGCACGGGTGCGCGTGCGCCGTGCGCGGGTCCGGCGCCGGCGGCCTCCGATGCTTTGACCCGACAGACATGCCTCTCGCTGACGCGTGGGGCCCCGCGCGGAACGACGCGCGTGCCTCGGGCTCCGCGCCCGCGACACGGTGCCTGGCTGCCTGTGCCCGCCTTGCCCGGTGGTGGTGGGATCAAATGCGCCCGGGCTCGGAATCCCCGACGGCTGCGGTCGTGACACGTGCGGATGTGCAAGTGCAAGTGCGGCTAGCCTGCCGTTGCTCTAGGAGTAAACAGTACGTGGGAGAGGGAGGTGCCAGTGGTCACGTACCATCATGTCGGCGGTGGAGGGCCCGGGGCCGGGGGCGAGGCCGGCGCCGGTGGTCGTGGCAGGGGACGCGGCGGCGAGCGGGGCAGCCGCGGGGGCCGCAGCCGCGTGCTTCTTCTTCGTCGGCTTCTTGCTAGGCGCGGGCGCCGTGACGACCGGCGCGGGCGCGGCGAGGAGGACGGGCGCCGGGGCCGGAGGCGACGACGACGGCGCGGGGGCCAGCGCTGGGGCCGGGGGAGGGAGCGTCGGTGCGGGGACCGGCGGGGAGGACGCGGCGGCGGGAGGAGGAGCGCTCACGCTCACGACGGGCGCCGGCGCCGTGGCCGCGGGCGGCAATGCTGGCGGCTGGGTGGAGCTGATGGGGGCTGGGGTGGGCGGCGTCGGTGGGGACGGGGAGTGGGTCGGCGCGGGGGAGGCGGCCGGGGAGGTGAGCTTGGTGCCGGCGTGGCTGGACTGGGACGGGGACGCGGCGGGCGAGGTGGAGATGGGGCTGTTCTTGGAGGAGGAGGGGCTTGGGGCGGCGGCGGCGGTAGAGGAGGAGGATGAGGTGGGGGAATGCGCGGCGGCGCCGGAGCGGGAGACGGACGGTGCGGCGGCCGGCGACTGGGACTGGGACCAGGCGGCCGTGATGGCGGCGGCGAGGAGGAGGAGCTGGAGGAGGCGGTGAGGGGCCATGGGGAGGACGGACCAGAGGAACCTGCTCGTCTGCGCTCCGCGGTCTGGTCTACTACACTCGGGCTCTGCAGTGTGAGTCTGTGAGTGAGAGAGAAGAGAGAAGTGTGAGGGGGAAGAAGAGCTGAGAGCGAGGTGAGCTGGTTTCTACTGGCCTTGGCTTGAAGGGAGAAGCAGAGGAGCATCGTTAAAGCTGTGTGTGGGCATGTGAAAGGACCTGGCTCTGTGTAGTGCTCTCTGATGCCTGAACAAAGGCTGATGCACTGCAACACCGACTGCATGAGAGAGAGAGAGAGAGAGGTGTGTTTGAGAGAGAGAGAGAGAGAGGTGAACACGACTGCAGTAGGGTACCAGGGCCTTGTTTAGTTACCCTCAAAATTCTAAGTTTTTTCGCTCTTTCTCCATCACATCAATTTTTAGCCGTTTGCATGGAGCATTAAATGTAGGTAAAAAAAATAACTAATTGCACAGTTTAGTTGGAAATCACAAGATGAATCTGTTGAGCTTAGTTGGTCCACGATTGGACAATATTTATCAAATAAGACGAAAGTGCTACTATTCATCAGGTTGAAATTTTTTTCAATCTAAACAAGGCCTAGGGTTCTTGGGGAGCTTTTTTTTTTAATTTTACCGTGTTTTCTTCGCCACAAACTTCAAGCGGTGTGGAAGAGGATGGAGGAGAAACAAACTTTTCAAAATTGGAAGAGCGTGGTCAGTGAATCTGATGCTCAAATACGGTGATTAATACATGATTAGCACAAAGATGACCTTGCTAGTGACTCCTCACAAAGCCCCAAAGAGATTCATCATGCTAATGAGGCTCCCTCTACTTTGACTCCAACCTTTGTCTGTTCTTCCATCTCTGTTTTGTCCTCTTTCAGTTTTAAGAGGATCGTTGATGTTTCTCTTTTAGAAAGAAAAATGGATCTTTGATCTTTCTTAAGTGGCAAGCAATGCCAAGATGCTCATGCTCACGAGGTAACAGCACAAAGAAGAAAAGGCTTGCAATTGCATATCGAAAGGCCTTAATGGGCCCATATAACAGTTGGAGCTGTCCTATTGCGGCCCAGAAAAAGCATCCCTGTGGGACATTTCTTCGCGGAAAAAGGTACAAATGAACCCATCAGATTTTCTCCTCCATCTATAAAACCAGAATTTTACCTCTCCTTAACTTTTAAAACCCATTTTTTCACCATGGATGGTTTAGACAGCATTTTTATCTAACGTGGGGCTAGTTAGCCATCCTATGCGGCTCCGCATCAACCGCCAAAAGGGTAAAACAGACTACATTGATTTTCAGGGATAAATTGGAGTACAAACAAATTTTTATTTGTAAAAAGTTATCCAAATGTTTTTCCCAGAAAAATACGTGATAAAAAATCCTAAAATCTCATATAATCTTAGAAAATTCATAGAATTTTGTTTTAGCATGGCAAAAGTATGTGACCACATCATACTTGATTCTATTTAGTATGAATACAAGTGCCATTTGATCTTGTTAGTGCCACTTGATTCTATGTACTCCTATGATCACGTTAGTGTAGACAACATGGGGGTGATACTTGTGTTCATCTTAAGTAGAATCAAGTTTGATGTAGTTACATTACACATGTGTTGTTGTCTTAGTTACTTAAACTTTTTGTGTAGTTTGGATTGTCAAATCAATGTCGACAAATAATTATAATACGTACTGAAACTCTGAAAGCATTCACTTGCAAATAAACACCAAAATTAGTTTGGAATATTCAAATAATTCCAAACTAGACGCCATAATATAGAGCTTGATGTTAGGGAGATCCGAAACTGGTTTCAGTTTTGTAGTTAAAACCTTTTAAATGAATTCTCTAAGATTAAAAATAGGTTTTTAGGAGTTTTAATTCACCGACACACTGGTGAATGTTGTCATCGCCGTGGCAAATTTGCCGAGACGCCACCTCTTATGAGGAAGCACCCAGATGCCCGGGCGCCGATGTCTTGGTGGAGATAGAAGCATCCGTCACCAATGGGGGAGGATCCGCGGTCGACGGGGGTTGCAACGTCTGGAGTTGATGGCGAAGGTTGTCGATGCTAGTGCAGAGATCGGCGACTTCCTTGTCGACTTCGGGCTTACAGAGATCGAAGTCGCCCTTCGCTGCCGTCAGATCCGCCACCGACTCCCGAACCTCGTTGAGCCGCTGATTGCTCTCCGAGATCCTCTTCGATTGCTCATCAAGCTTCGAAAGGATCAGTGTGAACTGCTCCTCCACTTTCATGGTGACTTGAAGACGAGTGCGATGGTCGTGCGCCAGGATCTAGACTCCCAATTGTTACGATCTATGATATCTCTCGATTAATAGTACGGATAGGTAGCAGTGGACGAGGATGTCTCCGGCGATCTCGAGCCGCAGTTCGCCGCCAACAGACCGGAGCATCCAAATCTGTTTTCTCCTCTTACAGCAACGATAGTTAAGTTGTTACAACATGAAAACGGATCGGATACGGACGGATATCATCGATATTACATTTGTTTTCATATTTTTGTCCGGATTCGGATTCGAATACGGATAGTGTCAACTATGTCGGATAGGATACGATTGGATATCGACATCATAAATATGCGATTTGAGTATTCGGATACGGATACGGTATCGGATGTTGGATATCCGGACTCAGATACGGACAGATCTCAACCCCTCTAAACGGATTCGGTTTCAAATACGGTCGGAAAATATCCATACCGTTTTCATCCCTGGTTACAACTGAACCGGCTAGCGTCAGCCTCTCCCCAGATGCAACTGGGCTATTCTACTGATTAAGCCATTCAGGCCCAAACATCTTGGCGGGCCTCCTGCTTCTTGGGCTCTTCTCTTTCTCCAGCAGAGTCCTTGGGCTTGATACAGGATCCGTAACAGACCTTCTCATTCATGTCGGAGGTGGATCATCAGCTGCAATAACAAGGCACAATAAGATTATATATAAATCGCCTTCAGTGGTCGATTGGAAATTGGAATCATGTATTGATTCCAAGATTGTACTACTAGAGAATGAAGAGAGTGCAAAAATATATAGATGTTACACTGACGACTCGTCAGAGGAATAGCGTCGTAGCTCCAAACGAAGCAGATCCTGGCGGCATCACGGGCAAGACTGTCAAAGCATTTGATGGCGGCCTTGTGATCGTCATCTTGTTCATCGGAGGTCCAGGCAGCATCACGCACAAGACTGTCAAAGTACTTCTTGGCGGCCTTGTAATCGCCGTCCTGTTCATCGCTCCGCCGGTTGCTATCTGCAGCAGAGCCGCTACTGCCCGGCAGCACCATCACCATGGCAGCTGCTGCTGGTTTCTCCCATTCTAGTGATTGTTTTGAAGAAAATGTAGCATGCATGGTCAATCGTCAGTAGAGAAGAAAACATTTACACTATGCAAACATCTAGAGATGTGCACTCGCTAGTCTCGCCATCACTGGCATATGTAGTATAATTTTCAAGTAAATCGATTAGACAGCTAAAGTCAAGCAGAAATGCAGGACATGTAAATCGATTAGACAGCTAACGAGGGACATGGGGAGAGAAGGAAGTGGATCGATCGGATGGAAGGGCATGCATATGCATAGCGTAGCACAACGGCGGCGGTGCCGGACAGGTGGGAAGCAGCGCGAGGGCGGTCCAGCTCCAGCTGGACGGCGCCGGCGAAGACGAAGGGTGTGTTGGTTGTAATGGATGGGGATATAGGGTGTTTGGTTGATGTATAAGCTGAATCTGGATATCTACAATTAGAAATATTTTGGATACATGTTGGATATCCTAGCCCCTAAAAATCTGGTAAACGAGGATATCCACGTGTTGATTAGCGCATGTTTTATACGACAATTAGAGTAGTATAGTACTAATTAGTATATTTTATTTTTAATTAGTGATTATAATGACAAGATTAGTGTCCGTTCATATTTATTAGGGTATAATTAGTTATTATTATTTTTAAATAATAGATATAATTAGTCATCTCATGCAATCTCATCCATCTAACCAAACAGAAAAATAGTTCGCTCCATCCATCCAACAAAACAGACAACATGAATAAAATCCATGGATAACCATATTCTATCCACCCTTGTCCTAAGCCAAACACACCCGAAGAGGACTTGGTAGCGAGCATGTGCATTCTAGTCAGGATATATGTTGCAAGCGTTGTATATCGATACTGTAAAAGTAGATCGGGATATTACACATGTTGTAATGACTATACGAGTATGTTTCAAATATATGTTCCAAATGTTTAATCTATTACAGACGTATGTTACAAGTGTTTTGTCTGGATGTTGCAAAAGTAGATCTGCATGTTGCAAGCATATATTTCAAGTGTTTTAGGTGTTTCGTACGTATGTTGCAAGTGTTTTATCTAGATATTGCATATGTTTGTAATGGTTTTCAAACGTTTTCAGGCGTTTTCACAGTGTCCCAGACGCTTATTTTAAATGTTTCATCTGTCTTCTTTTATATACTGCAACTATTGTATCTGAATATTTTAAAAATAAATCAGGTGTTAATACGCGTGGGAAACGGTTAGCAGCGTGGGCGCTGTTGGGGTGCTCGCTCACGAGCCTAACACACTAGCAGTCTGTTCGGGAGGCCGTATCGTATCGTGGATTATTTACTGCTGGCTGGTTTGGTATGAGAGAGAAAACACTGTTCCTGACTAAAAACTTACGATCGTTTACGACCCAGCGAACAGGCTGGGCGCTCGCTCGCTGGCTCGCTGTTCGGACGGACGCCCGGCCGCTCCATCATTTATTGACATTTGGATCAAAACTTCAACATTCGATATACTTAACGATTTGGGCTTGCACCGAACTCGTATATCCCCACGTATCGCTCGCGTGTTGTCAGCTCTATTTTATGTTTCAGCCCATCTTGTTGTCTAGGAAAAATTCTAGCCTTTCTGTCATATGTGCTTTTCTCTGTATTCTGTAGGCTTCGGCTTTGTTTTCGGCCCATTTATGTCTTCTCGTTCTTGTC